TCTCTCGTTTATTAGCAAGCCAGCAGTCACGCTTCTCAGAAGCCCAAGATGTTGGCACGGATCATCCCTGGTGCTAAATGTGTCGGTTATCTGCTCTCGCTGCCCAGGCTTTTGCCTTGCCTGTGCAGTAAAACTGTACGCTCTAGATGCCATTTGTTCAAAGTAGGCAGTTAAAAATGATGAACAGATTGCAACTTGTCATGGTAACTTGTTAAGAGAAGCATCAATATCTTTTATTATTAAAGGAAGGAGAGCATTTTTAAGCAGTTGGTGAAGCTGAAAAAAGCCTCTTGTTTTCCGATGTTTTTTGCAGAAAAAGTGTCTTAAAAAAAGCAGAGATTTTTTTTTTTTCCTCCATAGGAAATGTAATTTACTGGTTCTCAGCTTCCTGGAAACTGGGAATTCAGCCATTTTCTTACTTGTAATGCTACCTGTTTCACTGCCACTGCCCAAATTTGAACACAAGACATCCTGTAAGAGAGGATGCTGCCTTTGTCCGAGCACCTGCCGTCCTCCTCTGCTCCCTCCTTTGCCAGACACTTAAAAAAAAAAAAAAAAAAAAAAACCCCCAAAACTTAAAAGGCCAACCCAAAAAAACCCCGGGCAAAGCCCCTTAAGTAGGTTGTTTTTCTCCATCCCTTCGTATGCTAATTCCCTAACTCCAGCAGTACAGCCCACTTCCAGTGGATGGGGAAAGCATCATCTTTAACAATCCCCCCCCCCCCCCCCCCCCCCTTTCCCAAACACTAAAAAAAAAAAAAAAAAAAAAAACCCCCCAAACCTTCAAAGGCCAAGCCAATAAAACCCAGTGCTAAGCCTCTTACGTGTCCGTTTAACGTGGCAGCAGGCTGGTGAATAATGCTGAAGCAAGACAGTTGTTTCCCTACCAGATGACACAGAGCCTTAGTCTCTTCGTCCTCCTCTTAAAAAAAAAAAATAAAGTGAATATTTATGGGCACATTGCAGTATAAAACATTAAGAGCAGTAAAAAAGAAAGAGTACATTATATGACCATATCCAGCATTTTCTGCAAAGATAATTAACAGCTCTAGGACAGCTAATTTACATGTTAATGAAAGTGTTAGCAGGAAAGCCAATTAAAGTGGATTTATACAAGTCAAATAAAATCTGCTTTATTACTCTCCTTGAATAAGAGAAGTATGTAGCCCTTAGCATTATATTTTATGTCTATGTACGTGGCAAGCTGCCCGTTAAAGTATGAATCCCTGCAGCTAGCTGGTTTATACTGTCAGTGACAGCGTATACCGTTCTGTCGCAGCAAATCAAGGGAAGGGAAGAGACAGTCCAGCTGAAAAGGTTACAGCAAAGAACGAGGAATCTCCTGTCTCAATATATTATCTTCCACACTGGTGCCCAGCACCCCAGCCAAGTGTTTTTCAGAGGCGGGTTCCAGTTTTCATGCTCAGGAGAAGCTAAGCAGGGCCAGACTTGCTCTGCATTTGGGAAACCATTACAGAAAATCAGACTGCAGGAGGCGGTGATTCTTTCCTTCTCACTCAGGATTAAGCCGGGCCCCACCGCAATGTGAAAAGAGGCTAAGTAACCTGAACCACCGTTAGCTGGCGTCCACAGCTAGGGAACCCACAGCACGGCTCTGTCCTCAGCTCTGCTGCCCGTTCTCACTGGGACATTATCAATGGAAACCAGTGTTCCCAGTGGCAGCTGTCAGTCTTGAGCTTGTCATATAACGGGTGGCAGGGACTGGCTATCCCATGACGTTTTTCGTGTTGTGAACCCAGTGCTTGGAAATCTTAAAATTGTTGACACTGGCTGTGAAGCCAGGCAGGAATGATTTACCAGAGGCAAATATATAAGCGTCTCTGTGCTTATTTAATGTGAGAGACTTTGGCAAACGCCTAACACCATGTGAGCTTGCGCAGGGCCCTGTAGTACAGCAACTTTAAGTTGCTACAGGCATCCTGATTGTTCAGCTGCATTCGTGTTTGGAGCGGGTAAATGGGTCTCCTTGGTACAGCAACTGCCTGATGTAGCTTTTTTAGGTGGGTGATCACTGAAACAAACACAATGAAAGAGAACCAAACCCAAAATATTGTTCAGAATTTCCACTCTGGCAAATCGACATTTTTGCTTTTTCCTTTTTGTCCAGAATTGACATTTTCACCAGATGGAAAATGTCTCCTTTCCAGCTAGCTGCTCTGCCTGGCACCATGGAGCACAAATGACAGCGAAAGCCAGTTTGCACTGGCATAATCACAGCAATTAAAAACTTGATGACTGTTGCTACCAACACAGTTATACAAGAGTGATGGACAACAAGCGCACGAGGATTGAAAAACTCCTGTTAACCCTCCCTTCCCGTCTTACTATTTTAGTCTTGGATACCACAATGCAGACGAAATACCATCTTCTCTGGCAATTCACACATACCAGCTAGCCACATCTGCAGCTGGGTTCCCAGCTAGACAGGATTAAGAGCACAGTTTGAGACCTAAGAATTCACGTAAAGGCACTATTCTGAATTAATGTGACACCAGGGAAGCATGAAAGCATACCTTTCTAATGGGAGGCAGACATGAATGCTACACAACAGACCCTCTGGCCCTCAAACCAGTGTCTGTGCATGGTTTAGGCTGCACTTTTGCAAAATCTAAAAGCACAACTGAAAAACTGTTCAGTTTGGCAAAACTGATGACCAGCTGCCCCAGTACTATGCCTCTTACAGAAGATGAAGGGTAAACATTACATTCGTCCAGTATGAGACAATCACTAAAAAATAACGCAAGTCTTTAACAGAAGTGAACATGATCCAGAGCATTCATTTGGCAGATCATTCACCTTTAATAGATTTTGTGGCATATCTAGTACATCTTTTAAACCACATTTCATTACTGTATTCCAAAAAAACCCCAAACCCAATAACCCTCAAAATATTAGTTTTAAAAGTTACACATATATACATACAGTTAGAAAAAGGAGAAAGTTGCCTCAACAGTTCCAGTTACAGTAGCAAAACATAGATGCATTTACTGACATTAATGTGTAATGTAATTGATCTGAATCCCTGCAAGCCAAAAGAAGTCTATTAGAAGCAATACAAGGTTTGACACGCTTTCAGTTATTAGAAGTCTTGTCTATTCACAATGAATTCCACATACCTCTACTTTGTGAATACAAAGTGTTCTACTGTATTTACACTCTGAAGTTTAAACCACAGTGTAAAAAGGATAAAAGTCTTTAGAAGTTACAACAGTTCTGTTACATTTTCTATCTGAACTACTGCCATGCAGTATTCTTACCTACATCTTGGTTATGGGTGGAAAAATGCTCTTTTTGCTAGCGTGGTGCTGTACATTCTCTGTACTACTCCTGTGCATTTTACTTTGCAACTCCAGCAGGCCAAGGCCCAACTTCCAGAAGTGCATTTTTGGATGTAGTGTCCTCCCGGGCTGGAGTGCTCTCGAGTGGAGGCCACCTCAGCTGTTCCAGGACCTGGCAGGACTGCGATGGCCACTGGCACCTGCACCAAGCCCATGCAGAACTGCAAAGCGCACCCCACCTCTTTGGTAGCTTTCATAGCCCTAATTTTAAGGCCAGTGATATTAGATCCATCTCACGTAAGTGATGCTAAGGGACGTCTTAAGCCTGTCATCAATACAGGCCTTACATAACAAATGGTCAGCTAGGGCAGTATAGCCTAATCATAGCCTGTGTTCGTTTTGAGAGAGGGTTGGGGGTGGAAAGAAAGGAAGGAAAGACACCACAGTTAGACTAGGCTGCTTTTAACTACATTGCCAACTACTTAAGACTTTAAAAGAGTGTCTGAGCACTGCCATTTTTTTTTCTAAAAATACTATTTCTCACCAGTACTGTTAAGGTATCCTTAACATAAACATAAACTCAAATAAGACAACACTGCTGCTTTTCTCTGTATCTACACCAATAAATACACTTGGGCTTCAAGAAACCAAAACATCTGGGATCTTCTGTATTTCCAGTGAGACCTTACGATTATCTGAATTTTCTCCTGCTTTACTTTTTTCCTACCTGAGCTCCAAACTCAAAGCATTATCTTTTTTGTCAGGGACTACATTTGTCTTACTCCAGTTGAGCATTTTCAATGCTATTCTTTAAATCAGCTAAAGAAAGAGTTTCTAAATGAGTAACATGAGCCAGGGATTTGAATGCACCATCTTCTCAGTATGTCCCAAGAGTAAAGCAGAAGAGCTAAGCCTCTGTTCTGTATCTCCCATGTGAACAAGCACAGAACTGCCCTGAGTCTGACCAGATACAGACTGTCCTAAAGAAAGCAATCTCACAAGTTGCTAAGATTAAGAGAGAAATGTACAAGAAGGTGAACAATTCTTTTGTTTTGTTTTCATTTATACAGACAGATTAAAACAATTACAGTTGTCTATGCAAGACAACCTACCAACCTCTCTCCTTCTCACACAGATGCTGTATTTGCTGACAAATCTGGGTGGTCTATTAAATGAAAAGGCGAATTACAAAAACTCCTGTAATTGGGCCACTAGACCAAAATGCTACCTTCATTCACTTGGACAAATTTCTTCAGGCTCCAGTCAGACTACTTAACATGGACAGTAAACCAAAGCTTTGAGGCAGCCACATGCTGCTTCTCCCCTTTGACACAACAAACAACCACCTCAGTTAATTATTTCTGATGCTCTCTCTAAGATTTTAGTCCCAGATGTATATTTACCTTAATGAGACCACCTACCTCCAGAGCAAGCTTTTTTTTTTTTTTTTTTTCCAAAAGAAGATATCCTGGGCACTCTCCATAGTCTAGCTGTGTTGCTCCAGAAGGATATCTGTAGACTAAATGAAACTTCTCTTCCACTGAATCCCCATCCCCTCCCAGCCAAATTGCTGGAGAATTTACACACATTTTGTCGACAGATCATGGTCACTTTAAGCTAACACACATTTTCTTTTTGCCAAGTTTATAGGCCTTCAGTTTGTTTTGAATATATTTTAGACACCTCTCCAACTTACAAATAAGTTGGAGATGTACTGAAAATTATTTTAGCAGCAGATACTATTGACATAGCATCTTTGTAGTTCTGCAGATCCCCTAACAAATGTTAGGAGAAGAACTTACTGTGTTACACCAAATGGAGGCAAAAACTCAGTCTCCAAGTTCTTGGGCTAAAACATCCTGGATGAACTTCAGTGTACGTTGGTACAGGAAAGCGTCCTTCTTCTTTGGCTTACAAATATTCAGATGATTAACATCCACTGGAATAAGGTCTCCAATTCCTAACTCTGGGAGAGGGGG